ATAAGCTGACTATAGTATGCATCTCAGGGTCAGGTAGTTCGAGGTTGGATAAGGGCAAATGACACGCTTAAAGAGTTGCTAATTATCATCTTATTTTTAGTCTTTTGTCTAGCAGCGTTGTGTCGATCTTTTGTAACTTAACCTGGTATGAGGTGGGTTAGAATTTAAGTTAATTTTTGGTTGATTCAAAGACTTCCGCTGTAAACGGTTTAAACGGTTTTATTTTAGCCGTCTTTTGAAATATTTATTTAGAAATTTGTTTCACATTACGTGACATTCTAAAAAAAAATGAGGGTGTTACATTTTTTCTTCAAGTCGCACCAAAAGTCGTTCCTTGGGCGCCTAGCTATGCGACTTAGGCCGCCCGGCCATTCCTCGACCATTCCTCAACTTTTCACGGTTGTTCCCAACTGTTTTCCCCCCGTCATTCTACTGATCATTTTCCCGGTTGTTCAACCGTTTCTCCCGGCCGTTCTCCCGTTCGTTCTACGACCGTCCTCCGAAAATTACAGGTGTTACATATTTATTATCATAGTTATTAATTATTTATTATTGAAATATGTTATTATTTCAGGGTACTTTTGTCTTTTCATAATTTTATAATGAAACGAAATTCAATTCCAAACGAAAAATCAAGGAATGAACAATTAATTCAACTGACAAAATCTTCTAATTCCATCGGTCCACTTTGCGGATGTAACACAATATATGAATGAAGTAAAAGGAATTGATTATTCCAATTCCCTTAGATTCCGTAAACCAAATGTTATTCTAAAGATAAATAAAAAACCTAAAAATATACAACTTTTATTGTGTAAAATAAAAATTACAATAATATTATTGCTTTCATTTTATCAATAATTTGAAAGCAATAAATTATTTGTTCAGTTCTTAATGAACCGCTAAATGATTAAATAGTTTTCTTATCTCAACATATTTTTATTCAAACTCTTTTTGAGTTTTTTTTTTATCAGAACAAGTCTTAATGGTTCATATATGTTCAGGGGCGGACGCAATGTTAAAAAGGAGGGGGAATGGACCCCAGTCAAAAACTCAAAAAAAATTATAGGTTTTACATGATTTATCTTTTACTTCTCCCATTACATTTTTCCACGGGCCCCCAACCCCAATCGAAACCGTTACTCTAACCAAAAAAGCTGTTGAAATCAATCATCAAAAAAGTTATTCGAAATCGACAAAAACACTAAAAAATCTCTCGAAATCAACCAAAAAACTTTAAAATTCCCTCGAAAACGTTGTAATTAAGTTAAAAACACATCGGACGATTTTGCGAGTCTTTAGTCTACCTTAAAGGTGACCTCGCTGAACAAAAATCATGGATCCGCCACTATGTTGTTGTGAACTTTCAACTATTTAACATCTACTAATTCAATTTTTAAACACCATCTAAATAACGGTAAGTTGCAGGATAAAGTTAGGTAAAAAAAGAATGTGAAAAGCATGTGAGTAAAGTATATCATCAACGACAACGCCATCTCTTAATTCCATATAAAGCTCAAATCTTGCATGATTTACCAACAAGAAGTGTCGAGAATGGAGTCAAGTGATCCTCCACATGATGGCGGGCAAAAGTTAGCAACAAAGAGGTTCGTTTATTTGTTTTGCATTTCATTGTTAATATAAAAAATGATGTTGGAACCACAAGGGTGGTACCTGATTGGTTTGAGCTTGGCTCTAAAGGTCAAAAGTACCTGGAGGTCCAGGTCAAATCCAAGTAGGAAAAAATTCCCTTTGTGGCCATGGAGGTTCAAATGTAGTGACTCTGGGCTATCTGCAAATAAGGTGGTTGTCCTGGGATTAGTCGACTCGCATAGCGGGTTGAATATTCAGGTTAATAAAAAAAATGATGTTCGTCTTTTTACGGATAAAAATAGTTGAAAGTTAAACTTGTATGGATTTGGTTTTTGGTTAGAAGGTTGATGGGGAAAGTTGCAATTGTAACCGGCGGAGCAAGAGGAATTGGAGGTGCAACAGCAACGTTACTGGCTGAGAATGGGGCACATGTTATAGTTGCTGATGTATTAGATGAAGTTGGGGCAAGTCTTGCCAAGTCTATTGGAGGTCGTTTTATACATTGTGATGTCTCTAAAGAATCTGATATTGAATACGTTGTTCAATTTGCACTGTCTTGGAAAGGAAAACTTGATATCATCTTCAACAATGCCGGAATTATTGGTAAAATACAGACCCCTTTTACATTTTTCGAATACCATTTTCATAATCTTTTATCTTGGCCCATGACAATATGGTTTCAGATAATGGAAGGAGCATCGCAAATATTGACATGGAAGATGTAGCAAATATGATTAATGTTAATGTCAAAGGTGTTGTACACGGTATAAAACATGCTGCACGAGCAATGATTTCAGTAGGCAGCGGAGGTTCCATCATATGCTCCTCAAGTTCAGCAGCAATCATGGGAGGACTTGCGTCACACATATACACATTAACCAAAGCAGCCATTCTTGGAATATCAAGGAGCACGTCGTGTGAGTTAGGAGTTTATGGGATTCGGGTAAATTGTGTCTCACCACATGGCATCCCATCGGAGATGCTTGTGAAGGCATATCGAGACCATTTAGGACAAGAAAATATGACCGTGGAAGAAGTAAGTGACAGAATAAGTCAGAACGGAAGTTTACTACAAGGGAAATGCGGAAGCTTTGAAGATGTTGCACAAGCTGTGTTATTTCTAGCTAGCGATGAAAGTGGATTTATGACTGGGCATAACCTGGTTATCGACGGGGGGTATACTTCGGCTTCTGTCCAAATGCGTTTCATCTATCAAGACCCATAATGAGGACCATCAGTTAAACACCACATAATTGTTTGCTATTTGAAGGCTGTGATTGAGTGATTTCGAAATTAGACTGTTTTTATATTTATAAATAATTATATATGTATTTTGATTACAACTCGCATAGACTAACAAATTTCCACCCGAATCAAACAAATGAATAGACCTACATGCACCCAACAAAAGTATATCCGCAAGTTGGCCCTTACGAGTCTCGACTCTAGGGATAACAAATTTTCGCTATCTTTTTTAGAGAACCATTGAAAGTTCCTATCCAATTTTTCCGGGTTAACGAAAAGAGAATCTTTCGTGTATAATCCTGCAATAATCTCGAATGTTCTCAGTTCCAGTGTCTTGAGGACCGAGGGACACGGATCTCAGCCTATAAATTTTGACATATGGGAAGAAACCACAGGGACAGAGCTCTCGTCATCCACCACCATGGCCATGGTTGTGGCTATCCCTGCTCCAACACCATCCACCATAGACCAACACCACCATCCCCACCCCTACCCTGTTCCCCTTCACCCGTTTTTTCTCCTCGCAATCCAAAACCAGTAACTATTTGGTGACATGGAATCCCGTTTCCCCATATGTTTTTGCTATCGATATATGAAGAGGGCCAGTCGCCATAGAAGATAACGAAAACTACAGTAACCAAAAAAGCAATTTTTGAAAATCATAGACCAAAAAGACAATAAATAACAAACCAAAAGGATGTTTACTCAAAATTACAACACTAATTATGGTAATAATCAATGGAGTCTTCTTGTAAATCTACCTTTTTTCTTTGTTTTTTGTTTTATTGCATTTCTCCCCCACACAACAAGTGGCTTGCTGATGACAAACCCCCCCTCTCAAAATCAAGCTCATCGATGGAAGCAGAAAACGCGCAAAAATGGTCTTTATTTCCTATCTATCGACATCACTTCCATCAACTTCACCATCATTAAAACGACCCACCCCACCATTTCTCTCATTCAAACTCAACCACACAACCCTTCCATGGAGTTTGAAGATTCACAATCCAATCTTTGTACTTTCGTTTTCAATTCCTAAAAGGTCCCCATCGCCTTCATAATCGCTAAACCCATCCTTCAATTCCATTCTCCTCTTAATCATTATTACTTGTTTATTGCTATCCCTCCGTTTCGTCCTTTGCTCATTTAGGCTTTTTAGCTTTCAGCTTCCTTTTCACCACTCGATAAATCGCTTTATCACTCATTCGAGCTGGCTCTAGTGCTCTTTTCCCATCTTGTTTTGCTTTTTGTGTTCCCACTATTGAAGCATATGCTTCACCTTATCTACTTCATCATTGTTTCTTGATTACAATCTCCTTTCAGACCTTTTGTTTTGCCTGTACAGCTTAATTTCCGATTCGAGATGGGGGTTTTGAAGGTTTTCAAGAAATCAAGATTCGTCGCATGATCCTTGTTTTTGTGTGTTTCTTGGTTTACAGTTTCATTTCAAAGCTTTTACTAATTGTAATTTGAGATGGGTTTTTGATAATCTTTAGTTTTCTTGAATTAGTTTACATTTTTATGCATTTAAGTTTCTAAAGAATGGATTCTTGGAGCTTTAGTTCTGTGGGCAAAGATTTTGCATCTGATGGATCTCTCTCAACTTCTGATGCATTTGGTAAAGATCAAATTGGGTCAATGGGATGGGAAGTCAAACCCCCTTTTGTCTTTGAGAACAATATGGGTTTGTTCCCAAATGAAATCAACATTCAGAATCAAGTGTTTGGGGACATGGATTTTCCTCCATTGATGATAAATTCTTTGTTCAATCCAGTTATGGCTGCTTCTCAGAATGCATTTTCTGAAGAAAATGATTCTAGTTCTAAGCTTGAATCTAACTCTAGAGAGTCTGGACTGTTTGATCTTAAGTTAGGTAGGGTTATTGATCCAAAAGAGGTTCAGAATTACAATCCTTCCAAGATTGCTCACAATTTGAGTTCATCAGAAGTTTCTATGCCATCCAAGCGACCACGAGAAGCGGGTTTCGGTTCTTCGATACCATTTTGCAAAGTTTATGGTTGTAATAAAAACCTCAGTAACTGTAAAGATTACCATAGAAGGCATAAAGTTTGCGAGGCTCACTCAAAGACTTCTAAAGTGATTGTGAATGGCATTGAACAAAGATTTTGTCAGCAATGTAGCAGGTTGATTTTCTATCCTCTTTACTGAAGATGGGCATGAATAGTTGCTAAATTGTTCAAAATTTAGTTGATTTCTGTCTTGATTTAAGTGGGGTTTTGCTGGTTTTGTGACAAAAGACCACCATCTAATGCTATTGTAAGCTCATGTTATGATGGATTCAGGTTTCATTTGCTGCGCGAATTTGATGACGGCAAGAGGAGTTGTCGAAAACGTCTTGCTGGTCATAACGAGCGTCGAAGGAAACCTCATCCGGGCGCTCTCGCTGAACGATATGGTAGATTGCTTCCATCCTATAATGTTGGTGTTGAAGGTACTCTTCGAATAATCTTGTTAACTAATTAATAGGTTGCTTTAATTGCATACTTGTAGTTATATCTCATCATTGACCTTCTAATTGATCTTAAGAGGAAAGTCCATGTGTCATATGTCATTTCTGTTTGTATCATTCCCCAAATTAGGATTAAAAGATGGATTCCATCTTGTGGACCAAAATCAATATGCTATTCTATTATTACCAATGGGCAAATATGTAATTTCAGCCATTGATTAAACTGGGTAACTCATGTTCTGCAAATATCTTCCTGATGCAAGTGTAAACAAACAGATGGCATCTTTAAAATCTTGAAAGTTTGATGCTTTTTCTTTACATCACTTGTAGCCATGTTTTCACTTTGATCTTTAAGGGATTTCAACTGAAACAGGTAATGAATCTAAGGGATCTACAAGGGCGATATCGTCTTTTCACATCCCCGACCACCTTCGTAGTCCGTATCAGCCGAAACATGAGACGGATGGAAGGTGGCAAACGAATCTTGAAGAGAATATGGCTCATGATCTTCAGTCAATTAGTTGCATTACTGATGAACAGCTTCATTCAAAATCTTTTCATCCTTATCACTTTGAAACAGATCCTAGATTTGACGGCGTCCTTAACGCACCAATTGGGCTATCAGGAATAGCTTCGAGTTCTGAGTGTGCTCTCTCTCTTCTGTCATCTGATCATCAATCTCGGAGTAGCTGTAATTCGTCAAGAATCCCGACGTCGACAAACATGTTTCCAGCCAGCCATAATCATCAAGATTCAGGACCGTTGGATACGAATCCAATGGTTGGGTTCGAGGGCGGTCTGCTGAAGTTTGGATCAAAAGACATGAATTATGATGATCTGGTTTTCCCAAATGAAGGGTGTACGATTGATTTGCTGCAGTTATCGTCACAGCTTCAGAGGGTGGACGATCATCAAAAGAGAAGATCGCAAATGAAGCTCGCAAATGGTGTTTCCGTAGGCCTCAGTATGACTTGATTAAAAAGCCACCTTGACATGCTCGTGATTGTAGTTCTCCGATTGCAAATATGTCGCCGGCGATCAAGCACTAGAATAAAAACCATCTGTTCAGTTACCCCTTTTCGGTTTCTTCCAATAAGATTTGGACATGTGTAAAGATAGGGGGCAATAATACGTAAATTAAATGGTTGTTTCATCCCTAACATGATGATGCTACTTATTTGGAACCATTACAGCAAACCTTGAACCACCGACCTCCAAATCTGGAACCAATACAACATCTCCACCGGTGATTCTTTCGAAGCTATGAAAGCAAAAAATCAGAAAATATCAACTACAGTTTCACAAGAACCAAACCACGGGGACGAAATCATAGAAACGAACCACCGGGACGAAATCGCCAACAACCCTCTTAGATCCGGTGGAAGAAATTTCCGGCGAAAAACCTGAGGGCTTAAGGGTTGTAGGGAAACGGTTGCCCGGCGTTGAACTGTGAAGAGATGACAGGGACGATCCAACATGAATAACTCATTTGATATATTTAAAATTATTTTTTCAAAAATCTAAAAGAGTAATATAATAATTTTGTTTTTGACGGTTAATTAAAATATTTAATTAAATTTTTTAAAAAATATTTAAATAAAGTAGTTACTTAGTATATCAATTATCTAATATATATCGTATTTTAAAAATATTTGTTAATCAAAGTGGATCATAGTAATAATGTTCACAATATTTCACGTGTATTATAATTTGTTTTCTTTGTTTTATGAAATGTATCGAAGTGTGTATTTTCGTTATTTTCATTGTTTTACAAAAGGTATTACATTGTACATCTTGTATGTATATATGGGTACCACAGTGAATATCGTTTGTAGGTATCACAATGTGCATCTTGTATTCACATAAGGTTAATCGGAATAAGGTTCACCGGAGAGAAAAAAGAGAACAGATGAAAGAGAATATTTATAAAATAAAATCCTTAAACTGTCCTTAATTAATATTCTAAGTAAAAATTACCAAAATTATTAATTTTCTAATTTAATCTTTCATTTGTAAGTGAGATTGCATCTCACGATTACCACAAACAAAACAGTTCTCATTTAATTAGTCACACATATATATATATATAACCGGAGTGATGATTTTTTGTAAAAAAACAAAAAGAAACAATAAAAAGTGAAAAGAAGGTGTTTTCATTTTTAACCTACTAAAACACCGAAAAAATAGAGGTCTCCAAATTTGACCTCTATATATGGATGTCGAAAAATATGACATCTATAAATGAAATGTTAATATAATATTAAGTTTTTATAATTATATATATATATATATATTGATTGATAGTTTAATATATTAAGTCTTATTGAGTTTTTTTTAGTGTTTTAGTTTTGGATTAAAGGCACTGTATATATGATGTTACCTTTCATCGACAATTTCTTAAGGGATAAACTTAAATACATCCCTATATCTATATCTATACCTATACTATATTATAAAGCATCTGACAAAAACTCTTAGAAACTATTTTTTATGCGCAAAGTACTGTTTATTAATGCATATTACTTAAAACTCAAGATTGCAAGTAGATTGTACATAAGTACAACTTATTAAAGCTTCATATCTGAATTCGTATAACTAATTTTAAATAAAAATAATCAAATATAAGATAAACATCTCATTTTAAATATAAAAAATTTAAAATATAATTAAGATAATCGTTGAATCCTAACAGAATACTTAAATATTATCTTTATAAAATTTATAATATTAAACCA